ATCTGGGGCGAATGAGGCTCCGGCTCAGGTGGTGGAGGCGGACAGATGCCCCTGTGACGGGCTGGGCCTCGAGGAGAGAAGTCCGCTCCACTCGGTGCGAGCCGGCATCACGGCCTTCTTCCAAGCTGGATGCCCCAGAACTGTCTTCCAGCGGGGCGAGACGGACCCCCTGAAAGAGGTGATCCTTGCTCAGACTGCAGATGGCATCAAGCTCAGGGCGACCCATTGCCAAGGCCGCATCGACGGGCACAATGCCCGGATGAAGGTGGCATGCGCCATCTGCATGAAACATTGCAGCACCAAAACCGTGATGAAGCACATCTTGAAGAAGGCTTACCTGCTGGACCTGGCATCGTGGGCATGGCAGCTGTTCTATGGCAGCAGAGGCAGCAAACCGCATCAAGGAGGCTGACTATCGCAGGCAGGGCCATGCGGGCCTGGACTTCGAGGAGCTGTGCGGCCTATCCTGCAAACTGCAGATTGCACGAAGTGTCTGGAACAAGTTCGAGAACATCCCGAAGATCCGCCGCTCGACCGAGCTGCAGGACTTCATCGACCGCTATGTGGTGAAGCCCCAGCTGTTCCACTCGGGAGACAACGAAGCTCGTGCACACTCCTCACTCGTAGCTGCCTTCGCCAATCAGGTGGGAGCCGGGAACGTCCAGTCCACAGACTTGGTCCTCGCTGCCAAGGTTGCAGCGGGTGAGCTGCGGCAGGACTCCCTCATCTCAGGGTTGGTCACGACCTTCCTCATGCAGTATCGGCGGAGCCTTGGGTGCAAGAGGAAGACGAGCTCAGCTTTTTCCGACCCAGAGGCGCTGGCGGAGGTTTTGGGGATGTTGGGTGTTCGGAGCGAAGCGGAGGCTCTCGTACAGCGGTTCCATGTGAACCCTCAGTCGCTGCCGCGGTTGGTTCTGCACTCCGCCACCCTGCCGAATGCCTTCTGCAGTCTCCGAAGCCAGGCTGATGTGGACATGGCAGCTCAGACAGCGATCAGCCTGCTTCGCCTTCATAGGGAGGACGGGGCCATTTGCTGGTGGGTGAAACAGTGTGGGCACCCTGCTACGAACAAGTCTCAGGTCTGCGAGCGGAGAAACCGGGTGAGATGAAGGAGATCGGGATTGTAGGGGGCGAGTTCAGCGATGATCCCGCCGAGGACTTCTCATGCATCAAGGCGAGCGACCGCCAGATCTCGGACCTGCCGCCCGAAAGGCTGGCACGGCTGACTCTCCACCTCGCCCTTCACAGGGCGGACAACTCTGCCCACGTCTTCGACTTAGCAGTGCTACCAAGACCCCAAGGACAAGCTGACTCGCAGACGCTCCTCCGCTTCGTCGCCAGTGCTCTTGACAGCTGTGCCCGAGTCAACAACGGAGTGCCGGTCATCGGCGCCAGCCACGACGGTGCCAGTGTGAACGGCATGCTGAACAGATGCCAGTCAGGGTTGGAGTCCGAGGATGTGCTGCGGAACTTCCCCTTCTTCCGCGACTGTGTCGTGGAGCCGATGGCCCCTCAGCTGCCTTGCTTTCCATACAAGCAGCTCCGCTACAAGCAGCAACATCTGCTAGTAGGCTGCACCGATGGCTGGCACTGCCAGAAGAGATACGGCCTCCAGCACAGCAGTGGGGCTCGCTACATCACCTACGGCCGCATGACAGTGTGCCTGACGCCAGAAGTCCGTGCAAACATCGGGCACCAGATCCACTGCCTCTTCGACACGATGAGCGACAAGCACGCCGCAGCTCGCATGTCACATGTGTTCATGCCGCTCTCCTTCGAAGCTCGGCCGTAGCCACCAGGTTTTCCATATGGGTCTGTCTTTTTTTTGGGGGGTTGAATACTGCTACTGCCCTACACAGCTTAGGATGCACTCGGGGCACACGCGCACGGCGTGTATGGTGCATTGCTCGCCAGCTTCACTACGGCGAGTCATGCCTTCAGCAAGCATGAACACGCCGTCAACGCTTTTTCCCTCTACTACGGCTTGCTCCTTCATATGATGACCAACCGGGCTCGCTTCGGCGACGAGGCCGGCCTGTACAGCATCTCGACCATCACACTGCGAAACCTTTGCTCGTTGTGTGCCCACGGCATACAATCCACCAGGATTCCGGGACTGGAGCCGAGACTGGTACAGGAGCTGCCCATTGAACATCATTTTGGGCGACTCAAGAGCCACTTCCAAGGGCAAGGCTCGATTCGAGATGCTGTGCATGCCCTGAGCCTGGAAGCTGGAAAGCAGGCCCGCTGCTTGGAGCATGTGGCTGACCCTTCAGAGCTCGATGCCCGGACCAGTGCCGAGTCCAGGGAAGCCCTGGGTGCAGATGAGATCCTGGAGTGTGCCAAGGAGGGCTTGGCAGCTGCTTTGCAGTTCCAGGCTTTCTTGATGCCGGACGACAGGCCCGAGGATCTGTATGAGCACCTGCGGAAATGGTACCCCGCGATTGGTCACAAGCTGCTTACGCAGCGAGAACTCCCAGAGGAGGAGATGGAGGACTTCCTGGGCCTCTCCGCCCAGGAGCTGACATTGGACGAGATGAAGGAGCTCACGGCCGGGAAGGAGGGACCCGAGAATCCGCAGAAGCAGGCATCGGGTCCAGAGGACAAGCAGCTTCTGCAGTCCATAGAGGATCGAGCTTTGCTGCGAGCAAAGCTGCGAGGAGAAATCGAGGCCACGGCGACAGACGACCTCGACGATTCCGTGTGCGAGGATGGAGGCTTTGTCCAGCCGGATCCCGATGACACCGAGGGAGTGATGCCTCTGCCTGAGGAGTCTTTTGGGGTTCAGGGATAGGGGTTTCTGGTGGAGGGTTGAGGGTTAAGGTTTTAAGGGTTTAAGGGTTTAAGGGTCAAGGGTTCCGGGTTTAGAGTCCTAGCTGCCAGGAGCCATCTCTCGAGGAGGGCCAGAAGCAGCCCAAGACCTTGAGAGATGTCATGCGGATTGCAGTGTCGCAGAAGCTGTCTTGCTTCGACATGGGCGAGCCGAGTGCGACAGGCGAGCTGGCGATCGTCCGACGAGTTTCGGCTATGCTGCCAGGCATGCGAAGCTTCATGAGCTACACTCGAGGGGCTGAGGGGCTGCTCTCCTGGGCATGGCTGGACACGCAGAGTCAGGCCAAGGACAATGCTTGGAATGTCGGCCAGCATCAGCTTGCGAAAGCTCGTTTGGCCCAGGGCTTGTGCAAGATGCGAATGGCACGAAGCACTGCATGGCAGCAGAGTCAGGCCAAAGCCATCCGCGATGTCACCAAGAAGGTGGCCGAAAGTGGCATTGCCAAAGCTGGCCAAGGCGTCATCGAGCCAGCGAGCTTCAGCCCTTTATTCCAGGAGGATGGCACTTACCAGATTCTCGCGATCAAGGGCAAGGCATGCTATGCTTCTGCACCGAGGGTCGTCCTGGGCTGTGTTCAAGCCGTGTTTCGCGGCAGTGTCGTGAGACGTGGCACCGCGACCTACAAGTGCGGAGGGCCTTGCAGCATCGCACTGCCATCGTCCTCCACTCGGGTCTTGCATTGCACGGAGTTCTCAGAGAAGGAGGGCGGCTGGTTCGAGACGTCTTGTGCCTCTCAGCCATTGGTGATCGAGGCGGAAGATGTGCTGGGGGAGCTCGCAATTTCGAGGCAGGCGATCAGTGCAAGCAGGCTACGCATCCTTTTGACCCCGGCATCCCTGGCAGCATTGCAGTACATGAGGACTTCGGCTTTCAAGCTTCCCAAGGTATCCGAGAGCAAGGCATCCTGAAGTACCCTGTGAAAAAAACCACGGGTGACGATTCAGAGCTTTCGTGGTCGTTCATGGAGCGGAATCGTCGCTGGGGTTCAGTGGCTTTTCGTGATTGGAGCAAAGCTCCGATCGGGGATTTGGGGCGACGCGACACCGGGTGCCAACACTGCTTGAAGACGGCCAAGTTTCCAGCCACATATGTTGACCTGTCCTGGTGTCGCTTGTGCCCTCCTGGCTAGAGTTGCGAATCACGCACTCGGACGAGGGGCACAAAAAAGTCGCATATGCAGTGCTTGCAGTGCTCTGTTTCCTGCTCTTGATTTGCTCATGCCGGCATGTTCCATGCCCCGAGGTTTCATCCGGAAGGGTATGGCTTGACCACGGTGGCGGGGTGCTCATTACTCTTGCTGCTCTTGACTTTTTCCTGTCGGCAAGTCACTTTCCGTGCCCCGAGGTTTCATGGATGTGACTTTACCATGGTGCTAGCCCCGGAGTGACACGTCTCTTGCACCAAGAAGCTGATGTCTGGTTCTGTCGAGGTTGGGGTCTACTCGACTCGGACATGCACATCCCAGCGAGAGGGAGACAGCGAGAGGGAGAGAGAGAGAGAGAGAGAGAGAGAGAGAGAGAGAAAGAGAGAGAGAGAGAGAGAGCGAGAGGGAGAGAGAGAGAGAGAGAGAGAGAGCGAGAGCGAGAGCGAGAGCGAGAGCGGGAGCGGGAGCGGGAACGGGAACGGGAACGGGAACGGGAACGGGAACGGGACGGGTGCGACAGGGACAGGAAGAAGGAGAGAGGGAGATTTCGCGACATCTCTGAGCACACTTGTCCAAGCTGTCCATCCCCATCAACGTCGCTGCCGATTTTCAGCCGCTCTTAGACACAGGGTCCCTAACCCCCCAACACACACCCCCCATGCCAGGAAAAAAACGCGGTCAGGAAAATTTGCTTTTCCCGACCCCCCCCCCCCACCCCCCCCCGAGATAAACAGGGGGGATCTTGCAGACATGGAAGGACGCTGCTGAAGTTGTTGTGTCTTCCTTGCAGTGGTGTCCTTATTGATTAGTTGTGTCTGCTGTGTCTGCTGACTGGATGTTGCATGGCAACTCAAATTCGCTTGGCCCCTATATGCAGAACTTGCAACCCACACCCTGAACCTTGTAGATGCTTGGACTAGATCAGCCCAATCTGAAAATGACTCACCCTTGAAAAGCAAGGCCACCATGACTTCGTTACACTCACGCTTTGACTCCAAATAATGGCTTCTTCTTTCCAGCCAGGCGCAGCGCGGCAAAGGCGAAGGCGAAAGCCAGAGCTTGATACCCGGACCTAGCAAGTTGCGTTCTCAATACGCGGAACTCATAGCAAGAAGCCGTACACCGTGGAAGGTATGTCTCTACAATCTCTATTATTTGCTTAAGAACCCCCAAAAAATCAAAAATATATTCCTTATAGGGATAATATAGGGATTATTATTTTTATTTTTTGGTGGGTTCTTAAGCAAATAGTAGATCCTCGGAAGGCTTCGGTGTTACCAGGGCCCGGAACGAGGCGCACCCAGAGCCTCAAATGTTTCCTCAGACATCACGAACAGCCGTCATGAAGCCACGCACCTACGATCTTTGGGGTGCAGATGCCTGGGATGAAATGTGATGGCATAGAAATGCTGCAGGTTGGGACATTGGACATTGCAAGTTCCCGGAGAGCCCGGTATGCCATAGTGAAGCGGTTCAACTGACATCATATTGACCATCCTAATATAGGGGCCTTAATAATTACCTATACTATCTTGGAAGTTCCTGTTTATAACTATAGTATAAGGGGCTCTAAAGCCCTAGTCCAAGTATTAAGGCCCCTATATTACTATATCATACAACCCTCATAGTCACCCTTATTGTTCCCTTTCAAGGGAACCCTGTTCTACTTATTAAGGCCCCTATATCCTTGGTATAAGGGCTCTTCCTTTTTTCAGGGCCGGGCCACAGTTGCTCCCGATTTCTCCGAGGCCAAGAGGAAAACAAACAGCAGCAGGCGCCGCTCGGGAAATGGACTTTAAAGGGATTAATGTTCCTTTAAAGGGATCTATAAGGGCTCTATATGGCTTCCTTTACGGGGATATATAAGGGTTCTATCAGGGTTCCTTCCAAGGGATCTACAGGGGGGTTAGCATTTAAGGTTTAGGCTCAGGGGTGAGAGTCTATTGAGGTAGACCCCTGATGAGTCAGCCCCTGTCCGTAAACAAGGGCTTTTGTACGGATCCGAATATAGAGGCCCTTCAAGAAGCAGTGTTTAGTTTTCAGGAGTCTGTTTCAATGCAGTTCGGTCCGCTTCAGAAGCTGAAAATACAGCTCAAGAACTCAGGAGTAAAACTTCATAGCATTGCTTACGCACATTCCTGAAAAAGGGGGAATTGGACTGTTCACCAAGGCCTTGTTCGAACCAGTAGGACCCCTAGCTCCGTACCGAGGCCTGGGAGAATGCGTAAAGGAGCCTTTCAATTAAATTCAAAGGAAACCCTATTCTATCAGGGCCGGGCGGCTCTCTCCGAACCGCGACAAGCAGCCGGAACGCCGAGACCTCGTGGTTCCGAGCTCTTGCAAAGCTCAAGAAAAAGCGCAGTAGCAAGAGGTTTAGGGTTTATAGGGGATAACGGAACTTCAGGATCACAGTTTAGAGTTTTAGGGTTTAGGGCTCAGCTCAGGGTCGCCTTTTGGAGGTCAGAGGCTTTAGGGATGTTTAGGGTTTAGGGTTTCTTCAACATGGGGACCCAGACTAGGATCCGGTTAGGGAAGAATGAAAATTACATAGGAATCTCATCACGGCTTTAGTCAAGGCACCATGTCAGGCTGTTGAGTTTTAGTTGTGATCTTGACAGTAGCTCACAGAAGCATAGGCACTGTATGCTTGGCGTACAACAGCGTTTGCAAAGGGGTGTATGTCTTCCAAAATTGCTGGGTGGTAGGGGATTCTCGTGGCACTATACCCTCTCTTTTTAGTCTCCACATCAAGTCTGAACAGCTTTCGCCAGAAAATACGTACTGTTGGTACTAATAAGACGGCTGAACGACCCAACAGCAGGGATTTGGGGCTGAAGGGTTCGTTTTGGGGTCTCCAACAACTGGAGGTTTGAGCTCATGGTAAGCAAGCACCTACAATGCAGCTCCTATACGCTCCAGATTTCGGATATAGCATGAGAACATGGAACATCGAGGTTATGGCTCTGGTATAATACAAGGGCCCTAACAACTAGAATGGGGTTGTAGAGTACAGTGTAAGTATATTCAGGAACCCTAAGGGATAGCATTGAAAGCGCTGGGATTTTGTGATCATATATGTCATGTCAGCACCAGAGTATGGCTTCATTTTGTTATGAACACATCTCTCCAAGCACTAGCCCCCATTTACACTTTGCTTCGCACATAATAATTAGCGGTCCTTCAAGCTTAAAAACTGCAATTGCATCTTGTTGCCAAAAGGTATGGAAATCGATCTACTGACGCGAAAGGCAAGTTACACCTTGAAAGGCTTAAGTCTTTGAGCTGAATACACTGGGCCAGTGCTCTCAAGTTTCATGAAGTACACATCTAGTACCCGGTAATCATTTCGGCCTCTACATGAGTTTAGTTTAATCTCAGAACCCTGAACCATAAACCCTCCACCCGACACCATGTTTGGATTCATGAACCTAGGTTCTGGTATAGCGTCAGAGGCCTATGTGTAATGATCTACAGGGGCCCCGAGAAATGGTTGTCGTAGTTATTCCGACTTTTTTACATTATGAAAACTGTAGTTTAAGGGACCTCAGGCACGCCCCCGGCGCCTCGGAGCGCCTCTCGTGCTCAAACGAAGTACGAGCCTCAGAGGGACCGGGAGGGCTAAGGTTTCTTCAGGCTTCAGGATAGGTTATGATAGTTTTGTTTCGGGGTTGTAGGCGCCACGTTTGGATTTGGAGTTGGCCATTGGGGTTTCGGGCTCTAGATAGCTTGAGTAGGTTAAGGCTTGAGGCCGAGGGATTTCTGGTTTAGGGTCTAGAAGGTTAGCCTCATTGGTTTAGGGGTGGGGTGCAGTGGGCGTTGGAGCTCATGCATTTTGCCTCAGGACCTTCGGCGGCTTGTGGTGAAGGGTTTCAGGCTTCCATGGCCTTTGCAGTACGGCATGAATCATTGAATCCTATGATTACTACGACTGTTATCTGTTATCATCAGGGTTGCTATTAGTATTCTGATTATTTCTTTGGTTAGTACTCTATTCATGTTATTATGATAGTATCATGATTATGATTCATCGAATCCTCTTGTTTGACCTGAAGGCGGCGATGCTTCTGGCACGAAAAGGACCTGCGAAGCTATCCCTGGTAGTCACAGGGGCTCGGGGCTCCTTCTTACTAGTATTGTTATGAACTACTTGTCTTTCTGTTACACATATCATGATAAGTTCATACCCCCTGAACCCTAAACCCTCTTATAGTGCTACGCTCCTCCCTCTAAGTGGCCACGTCGCATCCAAGCAAGGAAAGCCCCGAAAGCCGCCCCGAAAGCCGCCCCGGAGCCGAGCCCGGGACCTGGCGGCGCCATGCGGATTTGATGGTTTCCCTTTAAGGATAGGGGGGTTTTCTGGAACACCATGTGTTGGGGGTTGCAGGTAGGCTCCGGGTCATTCAAAGGTTATCAGAGGGTTTCCGGTAAAGGCCATGGCCATCATAGTGGTCTCGATCGGTTTAGTATTCCTTTTAAGGTGCTACTATAAGGGCTGCCATAGGTATCCCACCGATGCGCTTCAAGAAGGGTGTCACGAAAGGGTCTACCTTGGTGTTGTGGCATCAGAGTCCTGACTGTCAGCCTGAGCTCCAACTCTCCGAACCTCGAAACTTGGATCAAGACCCTAAACCCCCAAACTCCTAAACCACAATAATAGATCCCCCACGGACCCTTATTATAGATCCCCTTTAAAGGGAGCCCTAAACTACTCCAAAGACCCTCAACTAGGCTTAATCCAGGCCCGAAGCACGCCATACTTAGCTCCAACCCGAGAGCCTGCAGTTTGCTTGAGGGGTAACAACCATGTATACAAAGAATGGGATCCCTTTAGGGGTTCGTGACAGGGATCTACAAGGGCTTCTAAAGGGTCTCTGAATTAGGGTATAACAAGCACCCTAAAAGGGACCCTAATTGCGAGAACTACAGTGGTGGATTCGAGTTCGTGTCGCTAAACCTTGCAGAGTGGTCCCTTGAACCTTCTCTGGCTGGACGCTCAGGGGGAAGGGGGTATTTGTGCCGTTAGACCGTTGGCTTTGAGGGCCAGGTTTGGACAAGTCCTACTTGAAGAATGAGGGGATGCTTGTAAGACAGACGGTTTTACGAAGTCCTTTGCTCCTTCAAGCAGTGGCTCAGAGTTCGAAGCATCTGTGTTGAAGGGTCTGGCGCGTATCCCGCGATTCAGGGTACAATAGTTTACAGGGTGTTGGGACGACGGAACACCTTTGTCCGAACCCCGGACACCACGTTTCCGTGGGAAGCATGTAAATTAACGTGAATTCTACGCTCTACAGACACCCACAACAAGTCGCGACCCGAACCCTTAAAAGCTCCCAACCAGAAAACCCGACAGCTCTGCACGCTCCACCCTGAACCCCTAAACCATCTTGAATGCATCATCCGAGGCGCCACTAGCACGCCTGCGGTGCGAACCCTCGACTGAGCTGCAGCTGCTGCACCAGTGCCATTGTTTCCTCAATTCCCAAGAAGCAAGGGTTTGCAAACAACCCGACCCTTGCGCCGTGTGGGGTGTGGGCGTTTGTGAGCATCATCACTGCTCTTGTTCTCGATTGCAATCTTACTACAAGAAACCAGCTCCCCTCTACGGCACGACCAAGCCCCCCCAAGCTCTAAACTTTTCGATAAAAGCCTGAAGCCCGGATTGGGGCCCCGGGATGTGCGAGCTTCGTGGGTGAGATAGCTCCCGAACATCGGTTGAGCTTCTCCCTCTTGGACGCCAGTGGCCGAAGATGAAAGAGGATCCTTCTGGCTCTTGCGCTTGGGCCCAGACCCGAAATTCTGAATTAGGCTTTGTAAGCACGCAAGACCACAAGTGGAGGAATGTTTCTTCTGTCCCCGTCCTGGCCATGCCAGTGCCAAGAGGTTTCGAATTGGTCACAGCACCCGATCTGTGAGCCTGCCCCATGGTGGTGCGTGGTGAATAGGGCACACGAGGGCCCCGCGCTGCTGCCAAAACGACCGTAATTCACGAATGCTTCTCAGACTCTAGTCGTTTCCTGCACGAGGGCGCCGGGCGTTCATCTAGGGTTTTGAGCTCCGGATTATTGGAAATGTCTGACAAGGGAAGCCCTCGTTGCTTGGCATTTGCTGCAGGTCCAAAAGATCGTGGGCACTTTCCGCAGCGTTCAATATTCAAGCAGCAGAACATGGATCCGAGATCCCCGTGGTGTCAAACTCCCAGGTTACCACGATGCAGCAATGCAACATGTGCAGTACGTAGTGTCCATGTGACTACTTCTTCTCACTACTACACTACAATTATCCAGCGGTTGCAGTACTCGCGACAGTCATGGCATCATACTTCTTCTCAGTGGTATCCCCCGGAGACTTTACGACTTTAAGTGCTTAAGTCTTTCTCGAGCTTTCCCTGGCGGCCCCCCAGTGTTCCGCGGCTCAAGGTTGAAGGGTTCCTTTAGAATTTGCATTAAACGTTCCGTTGAGAAGTCGCTTTGCCAGGTTCTATAAGGGTTCCATAAGGGCTTCAGGTTCGATTTAGGATACGGATGAAGTAAATGATCGGAGTAGATATAAGCGCAGCATCGACAATAGCCATCATTGTAGCCTTATTCAGGTGGTACCAACACCAGTGATCTGCTTGATCATCCGAGGTATGTAATAGCATCGCGAAACTCAAGACGAATCGCAATGTACCAGATCGGTCAACAGCATAGCTGTCATCATACTGACGCTTGGTACCTTTCCGGAGTGGGCAGTTGACGGTTTGGCATGACTTGCATCTTCATTGCAATTATGGTTGTGAATCACAGCCATTGTCTTTGTTCTGCTGTGTGCTGAGGCCGTTGCCACCGTTTCTCACAAATCGCCATCTTACTGTCGCTGAAACCACCACCAGCACTAGCATTGCCATTGCCGGCAAACAACGAGAAAGACGACGGAACACCAGCACGACGACCTCTCAGACCATAGCTGCTGATGCTGCTACTACGACGACGCAGCTACTTTATGTAGGCCACTTGCATGGTTGATTTGCCCTCAGTGGATGTAGCAGGGCATTATTTATTTACGAAGATGCTGGAGAGGGCTTTGGGTGCCTAGCTGTTTCTTTCAGCCTTGCGGCAGAGGTTGAAGCAGGCAAGCAAATCACCGACAAGAAACAGAGAGAGGTCAACAGAAAACGCTTTCATCCCTTAAGATTCATACAAACTCGGCCCGAAACCCGAAACCGCAAAGTCTAAACCTTAAACGCTAGATTAGTTTACATCAATGCAGGGCCTCGGTTGTTTCTGAGCCAAAGCCGAAAGTGGCGCTCCTACAGTTCCTTTAAGGAGTTCTAGGGTCTCTATATACAATCAATCAATATATATATATATATATATACATATATATATATATATATATATATGTGTGTGTGTATTTGGGTCCAGCCTGGTCCAAACGTCCCACAGCTTCAAGCTTCCAACTCCTCGGTGGCACAGCCCCTAAAACCCACAACCCCCAAACCCTAACCCTAAAACTCCGAACCCTCAAAACCCTAAACCCCTAAACTCTAAACTCCTACCCCTTACTAAAATAGCCCTAAACAAAGCCCCAAGACCCCAATCTCAGGCCTGAAGGCCTGATCTTCTTCTGCTCGCGCTGGAGTCCGAGACGGCCTAAGTGAGCTGGGGATTCCGGGATGAAGCTTCAGAGGTTTACTGGGTCTGGGTTCCTTTGAAGGGTAGTATAGGAGTTCCTTCAAGGGATCCATAGGGTTTGGGGTTTAGGGTTTAGTGTTTAGGGTCCAGGGTTTAGGGTTAAGATTGGGAGTTTTGGGGCTCCTGTAAGTTCCCAGACCAAGAGTCGTAGCACTCTTCACGGTGTGGGCCCATGGTCGTAACATTTTCTAAAACTACACGAGAAACGACTTGGTCTGCCCCTCCCCTTCCTATTAGTGCCAACACAATCCTCGCTTGGTTCCAATCCTGAATCCTAAGCCGGTTTAGGGTGAAGGCTCAAGCCTGGTGCAGTTGAGGCTCAGTATCTAAGCGCCGCGCTCCGTGTGACGTCGTTGGAGCCACAGTACACGCTCAACCTTGCCGTAAACCTCAGAAGCAACGCAATGCCAAAGAGCCTTCAGAGCCTAAAACCCAAATCCAAGATTCCACATATTCCTTCAGAGTCCTAAACTCCAACACCCTTAGTTTCCTCATAACATATCAGCTCTTTGTGGGCTGCTTCTTGTCCAGTTCGAACCACATCCCCACGCCCGAAACCCTTAAACGCGGCATGAACACGTCTTACCCCGAAATCTGAAGCCCACGTCCTTGTCTGAACCCGAGCCCAAGCCCCTAAACGCCACGAGCCCCCAATCCCCACCCGTAGGATCTGACACATCATCAGAGGGTCATACGGTATGAGCTTCAAAATAGTCATGTACCGATCCACCGGTAAGCAGTACCCATTCCCGCTTGACTTGTATCCAGGCAAATGGCAGCTCCTTTGCAGCATCTGCTGTCTGGTGTTTTGTATACATAGCACAGGTACTTCAATAAGGATTGCAGGACGGTGATGCATGAGTGTGGCGATGTGGTGTTCATATAAATGGCGGTGACGAGGTGAAGTGGACGTCATCAGGCTGATGCATGAAGGTGACGGTGGCGCTCATGCCGATGGTGGCGAAGTGGAGGGCATCAGTGTGATACATGCAGCTGGCGATGCCCTGGTCATATTGATGGCTGCTAGTTACTGCTAGTTGGACGTCATCATCGTCCCTGTTGACCCTTCTCCTACACATATGCTGACAAAGTGCACGGAAAATTTCCCGCCTGCTAAATCTTGAAACCACAGCCTTTTGCCGCGTCAGTTGAAGTTCGAAGGCAGAATCCGAAAATCTCTGCAGCCTCAAGCCTTAAACTACAACGCCTAAAACGTCGGTTTAAACCTGAATTCCGCTACCTTCAGCGCTGAACCATCAGCCGCGACACTCTGACATCATCAACTGTGCTGCCACGTCTGGTATTACTCTACGGTCTAGATCTTGGCAGGCCCGCTTGACTCTTCCGGCTAGTTCTGGTGCCAGTAGCAGTAGCAGTAGTAGTAGTAGTAGTAGTAGTAGTAGTAGTAGTAGTAGTAGTAATAGTAGTAGTAGTAGTAGTAGTCGTCGTCGTCCTCGTCGTCGTAGTACTGCTGTTGCTACTACGACAACTACTACTATTACTACTGGATAATAGTACTAGTACTCGTAATCTACTACTGCCACTGCTACTACTACCACTACTCCTACCTCCTACCACGACGCCTACTCTTCCAGCTCCTGTATTACTGGTACTAGTGCCCGCCATGCGACGGGGATTGAATGGTCGGTTGTGTTAAGATTTCTGGGCTTGGGTCTTGCTGCCCACTGGACGAAAACATCCGAATTATCGCAAAAGCCTGAAACAGTGAACATGGGAGGATTCAAACAATTGTACTCCCTCCCTGGCGTTTTCGGGGCACCTGCATACTTACAAACCGTCGTTTTAGGGGCCTTTTTTCACAATCAGAAGAGGGTTCGCACCCTCAGATTTTACTTGTCCCTGCACTAGCCCTATCTATCCTTCCGTTTTATTCTGTCATCGAACCAAGACCAAGACTGCGGCGCTCGTCACGCGCTGCGATCCTTGGCCTGGGTTTAAGGTTGCACACCTCGGCACTGGAGGGCCTGCTGCACTCGGGATTGGAGGGTTTGGGTTGTAGGGAGTAATAGCGGGAGCAGTACAGCGGAAACTTTGATTGACAAGGCTTTAGGTCAGGTGAGGCATGCTGAGATGGGTGTTGAGGATGCCAGCAACGCTACACTTCTGCCGACGTCGACGCTTAGGGCCTAAGGGCCTAGGACCTACGACTCAACTTGCAGTTTGTTGAAACTGGGGGCATCTTGGGCTCATCGGAGACCTGCGCCATGGATTCAAGCATTGCCACTTATTGAATGCGACATCATTGAATCGTGAACCGTACCCACAAGTTGAGATGTCACCGTGTCCTGATGTAATGAATACATTGCTGTTCATGGGAAATGTGATCATGGGCTCCCGAACTACCATCGAATCAACCCGCCCTAAGCGCCCGAGTTTGTGTTCGCCGAGGAAGCATTGCTGCGCGAGGCGAAGCGCCGCCTCACCGGCTCCAGCGACGAGGAGATGAGGTTAAAAGCACAGCAGTTATCTGCCGAGGGCTCAGACAACGGGGCTTGGACTTGGTGAACAGCTATTTCTTGGCACGCGTTTTCGGTGTCCCTAAAATACCCCTTGCCAGAGCTCACCATGTTACAGGCCCGCACCCTGTTGGCCCAGCCTAGAAGGGGGGTGAGCTTTAGTTCTTGTCGTTTAATGGGCTTTTGAGACGCCCAGGCGGATTACAAAAGGGTTCAGAGGCACCGCATGCTGCACAAATTAGTGCTTCCGCCTTCATTGCTTCTTTTTTACGTGGTTGACGAATACGTGT